CTCTCATTGAGCCAAACATACCCTTAGGGTCACAAGAATGAGAAATCAAGGAAACAAAGTTTTTAGATATGAGTCCTAATGGATTAAACCCATAGAGGCCAGGCTCGTTAGGGCGTAGCTCGACTGAATTCAAAAAGACTTTTAATTTAGTTTATGTCAAAAATATTACATTTAGTGTCTTAGTTTTATTTAAGATTTTAATTTGGCTTTTAATCTTGCATTTCAGTTCTCTAACATCATAAATTTCAAGTGATAATTTTTATTATTAATATATTATTACCTCTGGTCCTTAATATAAGAGCTTGATTTTTAATCTGATTCTTAATATAAAATCCCAATCCATTTTGTTTTTCTTATTTATTCCTTTTTTTAAGTAGTCCTTGTAATAATTTCACATATTAAAGGTTTCAAATAATAATTCTAGCTAATATACATGATTAATAAGAAAATTTAGAAAAAAACACATATTTATAACAAATAATTAACTTAACTATTTTTTTATCTTTTTTAAATTATTAACTAAGTATTATATTAAGCATAGGAGGTATTAGTATTAACGAGTCTTTTGTCAACATTTAAAATCAAAATGAAATTAAAGATTAAATGCGCACGCGCTGATGAGCTCAAGTTTCGAGGAATATAATTTTTTTTTTAAAAAAAAACGTGAAGCGCATGCGCTTTGATGAAAATTCCGACTGCATTAATTAGCCACGCCATCGAACATTTATAATTTTTAAATAACATGTTTTTATTATAGCGTATTATTTAAAAATAATTAGATATTTTACTGAATAATACAAAGATATTTATTGAAAAATGACAAAAAAAATACCTGTTAAATTTTGAAAAGATAAATAGATTATGCTTACTACTTTTATAACAACTTTGACTACTCTTATAATGGTTTTGACATATCAAAATCAACCAAAATCACTTATTGTCATTTTAAATTTAACAGGTAAATTTGTTATTTTTCCTATTTATTTACTTTCCTCACCAGTCAAGAAAATTATAATTTTTATGAATACTATTTGGTACATGAAGGCAATTTTAAGTCTGGAAAAAGTCATTCAACAAATTTAAGGTAAATCTTTATATCTTCGAATGATGTTCAATTCATTATGAGGTTCTAAAACTCTCCATTCAAAGCCTCCCATGGCTAGTAGCTTGCCAATACAAGATTTATCAATTTAAATGAGAAAAAGAAGGCAAGAGAAGAGGTTATATCTCCTGCTGTCTCATCATCTTTTTGCAGGAAAATGTTATTAACTCTTTCCTTTGTCAACAGAAGACATTTTTTATGTCTTTTTTCTCTTGAATTTAAGAAATGGCTATGGACTAAAGCCAACGACCAATGTTCGGGAGAAGACAATTCACACTTACACCTACTGTGCTGGGAAAAGGCTTCATAACGCATGTCAATGTTTTGGTGTTTTATCCAGCACTTTAGCCCTATAAGCCTATATGTTTTCTTATGTTGAATAACATGCGCCTTTTAATAAGAAAGAGCTATTAACCAAATAAAATACGTCGGTATAAGTAAAAAAAAAAAATCTTACTAATTTTTCATATCATCTTTAATTAGTTTCTTTAAATTAAAAAAATTAGTTGATATTTTTAAAATCATCCTATTATTTCAAAAGATCCTTAATTGAATATAATTAAGTTTTAAATTAATCTCAATCATTTATCCAGTCCTTCAAAGATACTCAACAACGTCCATTCATGTCAGTATATGGTGCTGTTGAAAAAAATCATTTCATATATTTACAATATACATAGCTGCATAGAGTTTCTAAAAAATTTAACTAATAAGTAAAAACGATGTAATTATGAATATTACAAGGTTGACTTAAAAGTAATTCAAAATTCCAAACGTTGGTGCTGGTGGGGACCTTGAGATGGGAATCAAAGGGGACCCACACCACTCACGTGTTAAGAGTCTCCTATGGCTCCCGCAACTTCCACGTCCATTTCCTTCATGATATATATTCTTTGTCTACATATAAAATAATTGAATAATTTAAATAAATTAAAAAAAATTAAATTAGTTATTTATAATAAATAAATATTATCTTTCTTAAAATATTCTTACTAATTAAGTATATTAGTTAAAACTATTATTATTAGAAATACTATAATAAAATAAATTAGGATCTTATATTAAATATCAAAATAAAAATCATATAAGGTATAAAGAACCGCAGGTGGTATAATAATCCACTCCATCAACCCGAATGCGGGCCCCACCTGCCATACCTTACAAACGCTCTTTTGTTCCTTTTTCTCCCTTTTCTTTCTATCAGAAAACTATCTTTTTTTCCTTAGATCTTATTTTTTTAAAGATAAAGTTACATCTGATATTCTAATTTTATTTTTAAATGTAATTAATATTATGATTTTTTATAGTGTGTTCAGCATTTTCATATTATTTTTTAAGCATCTAACACCTTAATATTATTTTTAGTGTATTAAATATCTTAAAAATTAAAGTGTTGGATGAATTAGAAAAAAAATCAAATGTTGGCCCCAAAAAAATAATAATAACATCAGCTATTGAATGTATAAAAAAAAAATAATGTTAGATGTACCTGAGAAATAGAACTGGGTAGCTTACCCTAATTTCAATCATAAATGATATTTTTCCAATTCTTAATATAGGACTCAATTATTGAGTTGGTTTTAGTCATAAATATAAGACCCATTTCTTCTATTTATCAATTTTTTCTAAATTACTCATATGATACTCCTTCAACTATAATCAAACAGAAAAGGAGAGAGATATTAACAAAGACAATTATGGTATTTTAAGAAAAATGTGTCATATTTCTTATAATTAACTAACTTACCTAACTTCCTTAATTTAATCAAACCAGTTAAATGGATCTTATATTAAGGATCGGAGGAGTATGAGTTATTTTTTCAAAGCCTAAGCAAGGAAATATGTTGAGTTTTAAAAAGAGAAAGCCTTTTCTAAGTTGTATTAAGAAACTAATTCTAAAGCCCTTTTGATTCTGAATTACTACGTCATAAGGAAAATTATAAGAATTTAAGGATTAATTTTTTCTTTAAAAAATGATAAGCCTCACTAGTTTAATTTTTTTAAAAAAATTTTTTTTAATGCTCTTTAATTTTAGTATTTATAAAATATGAATAACATAAGTTCGAAGGATTTCTCCTCGTTCTTCCGCTTTAAACTTGCCGTTGGCTTCTTCTAAAGCTGTTCGAGCTTCCCCCTCCTTTCTTCGTTCGTAGTTCCTTCTCTTCCTCCATAAACTTCCACCGTGAATTCTTCTCCCTTGTTTTCCGATTCTAGACATATATATTCTTCTGGGTTCTCTTTTCGTTCAAACATGGCTGCTCTTCAGAAACACGCTGTCGAATTCAAGGAGGATCCACGAAGCGTTGATCTCAGGCTTCACAGTGGTTGCTATGCCAGCGGAGAAGAAGAACCCACAACGGCGCTGATAGACGGACCCAAAGAAGAGCCGGCTTCGGAGGAGGTCTCTCCGGAGGCGATGCAGGTTATGCCAGTGGCGGTGCACGTGCCGCGAAAGAAGGCTTTGACGAAGGATCGTCACACGAAGGTCGAGGGGCGAGGCCGGAGGATCCGAATGCCCGCAACGTGCGCCGCTCGGATCTTCCAGTTGACCCGTGAATTGGGTCACAAGTCTGACGGTGAAACCATCCGATGGCTTCTCGAACATGCGGAGCCAGCCATCATCGCGGCCACTGGCACCGGCACCGTTCCCGCCATAGCCATGTCCGTTAACGGCACCCTCAAAATTCCAACTACCCCATCCACCCGCAACAAGCCCGAACCCGATGACCCACCTGAAAGGAAGAAGCAAAAGCGATCAACGAACAGTTCGTACACAGAGCTGAGCGACGGTGTTTCGGTTTCCGTCGGCCTTGCCCCGCTATCAACAACGGCGGTGACGACAAAGCCAAGCATCACGACAGTTAATACCCAACAAGCAAAAGTACAGTCAGCACAAGGATTGGTCCCCATGTGGGCTATACAGTCAAACGCCGTCGTTCCGGCGGGCACGTGCTTCTTAGTCCCTCCGATGGATTCCATAGCCGGAACTTCGACAAGCCAGCCGCAGATTTTGGCCATCCCCGTGAATGCTACGCCTCTGATCAACATTCCGGCGAGACCTATATCGGCTTTTGTTTCATTAATGGAGAACATTGTAGCCCCTGTTCAGTTCCAAGCAGCGACAACAATACCTCGGTGTTCAACTGCTCCGTCCTTGAAACCTCCGAAAGAAGCGAAGATTCCGGCACCGAGCTCAACATCTGTTGCTCCTACCACAAGCACAACCCAGAGGCTGAGAAAATTCTCATTAGAGATTCACGATAAGGAGAAGCTTCAGCTCAAGTCCAGCTGTTCAAAGCAGTGAGGAAAACGAAGAGGAAATGAGAAGCATGTAGAAACGGTTCCCTCAGGAAGAGAATTTCCCAGACCAAAGGGGGTAGTTGATGGGTTTCTCGTGACCATGGAATTCGCCATTGATGACGTGAGTGAAGGATTTGCCGACTGTGGAGCTGGAACAACTTGAGGTGGGGGCGGGGGTAGGGGAGAGGAGATCACGTGTGCACGTGTAGAGAAGTGGATTGCAAGGTAGGGTGGGGCCCGCGAAGGTGGGGACACACTCTTGCTCGCTTCTGCGTCGACCGCGGAAAGTGGGATTCGTAAGAGGAGGAGAAACTGTATATGAGGTTTTATTTTAATTTTCTTAAAATGTTTCTGACTGATTGGCAATAAATTAATTTCATGTTATAATGTAAGTGATTTAGATTTGTGGACCATGAGAGAGCTGTGTGTGTATTACATTTTTATTTTTTTTCTTTTTAAAGACTATATTCTAGATTGTTAACAATTAAAATAAAAGCTACTTTGGCCCCCCAAAAAAAAAACATAAAAGCTACTACCTCTTAGTTTATATAAAAACTAGATAATTAATTTACAAAAATTAAAAAAATTTGACTTTTCTAAACTATATTTTTTAATCATATGCATTAAAACTCTTTGTTGATGGAAACCCTTTAAAATTAATATGGATATTTTAAAGAAAATATTACATTTGATTCTTAAAATAAAAGCTAGTTGACAAATTTATATAAATTAATAAGATTAATTAACTTAGTTATTTATAATAAATATGTATTATTTTTTAAAATACTCTTATTCATAATGTATATTATTAAGAATACCATTTGATGAAACATTTAACATGCTCAACTACTAAAAGAATTATTTCAAAAAAATATATGGGAGACAAAGTGAATTGGAGTCTTATATTTATAATCAAATTGGAAGTCAAACTAGCTCTTATATATATTAATGATGGTAAGTAGTATTATAAATTTGATATACAAAATGGATTAAATTCTTATATTTAGAACTAAATCTAATTTTCAGTTAGCGCTTATATTAAGAATAGGATGGAGTACCTAACTAATTTGCATATATTAAGAAAGTTAGTTAACTTAGTTATTTATAACAATATAAGTTGATTTTTTAAAGTATCATTTTAATCATGACTAGTTGACTATCATTGGATGAAAACCTCCTTGATATGTGTAATCAAAATGATATTTTAGATAATGAATTATAAATTTAAAAAACAAAATGAATTAAATCTTATATTTATAATCAAATTTAGTTCTTAATTATCTTTTACATTATATTAACAACAGGAAGTAGTAATATATTTTTCCATTAAGATGTTTACCTACTTGCTCACAAGAAAAGTATTAGCTCCTTCGGTTTCTAATATAAGAATTGGTTGGAGGGTTAAATTTAGTCTTAAATATATGACCTAAATCTATTTTGTCTCTTATCTTTATCCAAAATACAAAGAATTCCTACTAAGGAATAATTCTAATAATCCAATGCACATAATTGAAGAAGATAGCTTAGGAAGATCAACATTAATTTATGACAAATAACCAGCTTAATTAATTTTCCTAATATTCCCAAATTAATTATCTACTTTTATATTAATGACCCGTATTTTTCCATCAAAGTATTAGTGCAAGATCTCATGACAACGTTTTCATATAAGGGTTACAATTTCCTCAGTATTGCAAGATACAAATAATCGTACTAAGTAAAGAAAAAATTAATTAAAGTATGTAAACAAATATAACTTATTTTTCAAAATGGAAAATTTCACAAAAATAACATTTGAATTTCAAAAATCCCAAAAGCCACTTGAATTTGCAAAATTTCAAATAAATAATTAAAATTTTAAAATGTTGATGGATTTACAGTGTTACCTTTTATTTGTTGCCCTTTAATTTTTTTCCAAAAAAAAAAACTCAAGTCATTTTTATTGGCTGAATGATTATCAAATCTTTGTCGATGATGGCAATTTTTTTTAACGATTTTTCTTAAAATTTTGTAACGTTATTGATAACTTTTTTTAATGAGTCTTGCAACTCTATTAATGCCATTATTATTTATTTTTCAAGTTTTAAACTGAGATTTTTTTAACATCTATAACATGGTTGCCAACTTTTATAACAACATTCACATCTTCATTATTGTCATTAGTCACATTATATGACTGGTTTTTAAACTTAGAGAAATTAGTGAGTGCCTAATCTTATAAGATTTTTTCAACACTTGTAATGTAATTGACAGTTCTTTTAATAAATCTCTCGATATCATTAATGCCATTTACTAAGTGTTTTTCAGGTTTTAAATTGAATTTTTTTTTCAATATTTGTGATACGATTATTGATGATGCCTCTGTCGTTAAAGCACTCAATTAAACTAGGTCCCAACTAATTTTTAGTTTAGGGTCGACCTAGGTCATTACTTCCAAGGAGCAAGTTATGGGTTTCTTTAGGTAAAAATTCAGGTGATAAAAAAATGCAATAAATTGGACCTAAACTAAAATGCAAAATTCTAATTCTAAATGGAAAATGCAAATATCCTAAAATCTATATGAAAATTAAATTAAACTAAATAAATGCAATGCAATTTTTGGGGGTTTTTTGAAGGAAAATAAAAATAATGAATAAAGAAAATTAATCAAAAGCAAAGGGAATCAGAGATTTCTCTTCAGGTACGGTAGAGGGGACAACTTAGGATTTGCATGGATTTAACCTTCATAACCTTATCAGTTAATTAAACCAAAGGAAGTGATAAGAGAGTGGAATTAATAAACGTAATTACCTACTTGAAATAAAGGGAACCCTTAATCTCAAAAACCCTTAAACCATTAGAAAACTCATAACAGTATAAGGTTGGTCAATTAAGCTTATTAAAACCAATGAAGATATCTCAAATTAATTCTGGAAATTATATTTGAAATCATCCAGTTAAACAACTAAACAATTAACCAACTTAATTAAACAATTAAGAGGCAAAAGAACCCAAATTTTGCAATTCAAACCACATTGATAATTAAACTCATAATGAAAACTCAATTATAAATTCAATTAACAATGCAAAGGTTCTAAACATAAATTCCAACAAGTATCTTGGCACAAATAAGATCCAAATATCAATTTAATCCAAGAATAAAATTGACAATCTAGAACTAAATTGTCTCAACAAAATTACAACTTGAACTCATTTAAAACTAAACAATTTCAAGTCCTTGAATTAAAAAGATAAATGAAACATCACTCCCTTGTGGTCTTCAAATGCTAGCCCAAGGCTCTAGTCTCCTCCATGTTCCTCCCAAGTTGCCTCCCCATAAGCTTAAGCTACCATCAAAATGTCTCCTCCTCCAAGGTTATTAGATGCCATAGCCATGAATGATAAGATGTAGATGGGAGTTTGGCCGTGCAATGAGAAAGGAGAGGAATGATTGAAATTGGTGGGTGAATGACGTGAATGAGGGGAAGGAGATTTGGCGTTCAAAAATCCTGGTCCGTGCGTCAATCATGGAGAATAAAGAGGTGTATCCTCAGCCGTGAATTCCTTGCTCTCAAATAAGGAAAATATTTTAATGGGAGAAAAGAAAATTTTTGTGATTCAAAACTCAAGCCCATTAGTAATTAATTGACCCACTTGATATTAGCCATTGGATTGTGCTTAGATTCCAAGAAACAATCTTGCACTATTAGATTTCCCATATGCAAATTCTTGACCTACAAGAATTTAAGTGCATCAATTAATGTAGATTATATCCAAATATAATCAAAAATTAAATATTAGGTATGCACAAAAATTAGGCAAGAAAGTGCAAAACTTTCTAAAAATAGTCTTTCTAAAAATATGAGACTTATTTCCAAAGAAATAGAAAAATTAATTCCAAGTCAAAATAGGAAATCACAAAATATCTATATTTTTAATCCAAAATCTCAATTTTTATGCAAAATCCAAAAATCAACCAATTAATCCAATTATGCATAAAAAATCTAATTAAGCTCAAAATTATCATTTAAATCCTAATTAATGTGGGATAAAATGTATAAAAATTGGGCTTTATCAATTATCAACTCTTATAACAATATTCACAATCCCATTAACATAATTAACCATATTATATGACAGGCTTTTAAACCTGGAGAAATTAATGAGTAGATGCCTAACCTTATGGGATTATTCAAATATTTGTGACTTGATTGACAACTTTTTTTAACAAGCTTCTTTTTATCACATGTTTTCCAGTTTTTAAAACTGAGACTTTTTTAACATTTGTAACATATTTACTAACTCTTATAACAATATTTACAACTTTATTAATATCATTAACTACGCTATATGACAAGTTTTTAAATTATTATTTTTTGCCAACTTTTAAATTATTATTAATTTAACACAAACATTAGTTCATAATAAGGGAGTTGCATGCAATAGTCTTAAAGGCCTCCGGACTTTTAACACTACTCCCATCAAACTATCAATAATAAAAAATATTAATTTACAAAATCTACAAGGATGAGCCATAGGTGACAATATATAACCGATTAGCACGTAAACAAAAGATGAAGGCTATACAATCTATGACAATATACTAAGCCTTTAAAGCCTTCTCTGAAGTACCAAAACTAGAACTCTCACATGAAAATAATAAAAAATCACAGGATGAGGTAGAAGTCTTAATAACCAAATTTTCAGCTTGCCATTCATATTAATATGTGTTTTTGAGATACCAAGTAAGATAGATATCAATTTCCTTATATATATAATCTCAAATATTAAATCAAAAAGGGAACAATGCAATCAAGTATATGCAATCCTTTCTTGATTTAATGTTTGAGATTTTATATGTATTTGGAAATTGACAAAGGTTATCGATTTCCAAATACACATAAAATCTGAAATATTAATTCGAAAAGAGAATAATGCAATCAAGAGTATTCAATCTTCTGGCAAAATGCTGGTCGAAAAAAAAAAATCTTCTGGCAAAAAAATATATACAATCCCATAGACTACAAGCATTTTATAGGGGTATTAACCAAGAAGGCATATCTTCATTAAGAGGTACCAGAAGAAGTCATAAGGACCTATCTCTCGCTATGAAAAGATGGAGAGAAACCACGTGGCCTCTCCCTTACTTTAAGAGAATGAAAGAAGAGCCAACTATTATGCATTAATTAAACTTTATCACATAGTAGGAAGAGACTCTACATACGCACCAATCATGTCCTATGCTCAACAGTTCAACCAAATATTATATCCATATTTTCATGAGTTCCACTAGACTATTTTACTCAACATATACCAACATAATTTCTAAACATATGTAAAAGCATATCATAAGTTCAATAAACCAAAACTACTTACAAACAACACATTGGCTTGTATAAAAAATAAAAAATTTAAATTTTTTACATTGTTATTT